CACTTAATCTGGCATGATGCCAGGTGATAGTATTTTATCTAGGGTGTCAAAGAGGAAAACAATAATTAAAAGGCAGGTGACATAAACACAAAAAAGGCATGAAAGGACTCTGAGATTTGGAGTGAAGTGTTGGATAGGGACATGGGTACATTACAGAAGTACCTCCTCTTAAACCTTGTTTTTGTTTATTCAAGGGGAATGAGACAAACGACTGAGCTTAGGGGTTTATTTGTTTAGTTCAAACTGATCACAACTTTTTCTGCTTCACTGTACAGTGAGGTTTTAATGAATTAACCCCAAAGCGTTGACAATTTTTCTATGTCAGATGTTGATTGACAGGCTGAGCATTTTATTACTTTGCAGGATGCTGAATAAATTTACGTATTTCCTCTATCACTTCTCGATAGTTAAAACTTATGATATAATCATGTCCTGAAAATTCTGATCCCACTGCCTTGCAAGTAGTGCCTAATTTTAGTTGCATTCTTTGTTACAAGTTCAGATCCTGATGGCACAGTTCGTGAAGACACTACCTGGAATGGTATTGAATGGGAAGGTCTCACGTTTGATCTCTCAGTTAGCTCATCTCAGTTACATGAACAATTGGGGAGCTGCTGTTAGCTTTATCCTTTCCACTCAGGTTAGGGAGGGGGGAAATTCTCCATTATTTCCAATCTTAAGGGTTACACATTGCTGTCTGTAAACAAATGTGTATGTATATAGTGAGGATAGGATCAGGCTTTGCTGTGAAGCTCCCCAGTGTCCAATACATTGTTGACACACACTATCTAAGTCCATGTATAAAGAATTACATATTGGGTGAGATACCAAAGGATTGCTGGTGTTGATGGAACACCTCCCCATTTTGAGCTGCCCAGCTTCGAGACAGCAGTGGAAATGATCTAGACCTGTGATCTGACATTTCCTTTCTGATTAGGACTTCAACACCAGACACAGGAGGCTTGTTAGACATGTATGGGTGGTTAAAACTCAAAATATTAGAAATAAAAAAACATTGTATTAGCATCTCTTCAACAACAACAACTTGCATTTATATAGCATGCCTCACATAGGATAATGTCCCAGAGCAGTTGGATAGAGGAAGAGTGTTCCAGAGTTTCGGGGCATAGAGCCAGTCGAGCAGAGGCAGACGGCAGTTGGTTGGGAAGTAAGCAGGTCAGAGAGGTACTTACTCTTCATCAGAGAAGGGAGGCCTTCAATCTATGTAACTATACCAATCAATCTTAGTCAGAGTGTGGAAGAAGAACGCAAACCCAAATGGAAATCTCCATCCCACTCAGTGTTCACAGAGGAGGCCTTCAACTGTCCAATATACACCATCATTTGAACATATGTTGCCTGAAATCAAACCCAGGATATTAAACAGTAAAGCATACAACCCATGCGATGATAGGAACTTAAGTTTGATGTCCAAAGCATTAACAGGTCTGGTTGTTACAGTGCAAGTCAAGGGATTGCTTCAAATTCAATGTTAGTGTTACTGTTAATTATTGCCAGATGTTTAAACAATGTGGTTCCGCTCAAGCTGTTATAGCCTGTTTGGGAGCTTTGGAAATATCTGTATTTATTGTGTAGATGGGTTCACTGGTAGATTTATACTAGGCAAATATTTGAGACATGGAATTGAAGGAAACTTTTGGAACATTGGTCATTTTGATTTGTCTAAGAAATGTTCTCACTTTTGCAATCTAATGAAGTCCGACTCTCAATTGCTTCCATTTATACACTTAACTCCATTCTAGGAAGGTTTCCAAATATAACATGGCCTCCACGTTTATATATTACCGATCATATGTACAGAGTCGTAGGCTAATTCACACTGTAGAACTTCTGCTGCAATAACGCTAAACAAGGGTCCATTTCTCACAGTTTTGGTGTTTCATCATAATTTCTGATGGCATGAAAACCTCTATCTTGTCCAATCTTTCCCGATAGCTATATTCACTCATTCCTAGTAACATCTAAGAATCATTCCACTATAAGGCTAGTGTAAGGCTAATCATCACAGCAGAAGGATTTCTAGGATTAATTTGTGTTTCAGGATTGTCACCTCCAGACTTTAAAGATCGTGTCTGAACACAATGCCAGGCTTGTTAAACCAGAATACTTGGGAAGGTCTTCCCCTCACAGCTTCCTGGATCAAAGCCTGTACCAATGGTTATTCTCTCCGAGTGTCTACAAGTCTCACCTACATCAACCCTGAAACCGAGCCAGTACGAGGTAAGTACATTATATTTCTGCTGTCGATGGCCCTTTTATGTGCCTGGCTTCCGCTTGTTTGATAGTTGACCATAAGAACGAACTGCATTGAGGCTTATCAAGGAGCAATGAATGCAATAATATTGATAAAACAGAACAAGTTAAGAAAAAGTGTACTGAAGCCCACCTGTCAAGTGATAAGGCTTTGTGGAGTGCAGGTGTAAAGTGCATTGATTGGGATTAATGCCAACTGTCAGAAAACATATTGGACTTTACCAGAATGCTATTTTCACTTCAATTATTCGTTCATGCTATTCAGAATGGTTGCAAAGTTCTCAACGTTGATTTATGCTGTTAGAATATTTACTACATGATTTTCCTTTTTACTTTAAATATTTCTGGTTGTAACGCCTTGTCTCACAGGTGTTTTTGTGTACCTGCTGGAGGAGTCAGAGGCAGTGGTTGGATTTGAAGCCTCAACAGCAGGAAAGCTGGTGACTATTCAGATGAAGAACCGGAGCAAAGCAGAAGACTGCTGTGTTAGCTGTTATAACAACTCAAATGTGGCTCTGGAATGTAGCAATGGTAAGTCAAAAATAGAAGATCATGGTAAGGTAAATGAAGAGAGCATGGAATGAGAAAAACTTCACGAGGAGAGGCTTTGCACTGAACATGCAAAACCAACCCTAAACCGTACAACATCCTTCACAACAAAAACAATAATTTGCATTTATATAGCACCCTTCACACAGGGTAATATCACACAATTACTTTTGACCTCTTTTCCCATTCAAATGAATTGTGGAGTCCTGTAGCTCAGTGGTTAGAGAACTCGCCTCGCAAGCAAGAGACCTGGGTTCGATTCCCAGCCATGCGAAACCTTGGGCAAGTTTCCTTACTCCACACGCCTGATAATAATCCCTCAAGCAAAAAAAAAAATAAATTGGTCACTTCAATTCACGACTGTTTGTGGGACACTGCTGTGTGCAATTGGCTGCCGCATTTCACCCACAAATATAGTCAATTCACTTGGCAGTACATTTTGTGAAGCGCTTTGAGACATCTGGAAGTGAAAAGTGCTAAATAAAATGCAAGGAAGGAAGGAATAAACAAAGCTACAGGTTCATATCAATATCATGAATGCTATTTTTTTTTAACCTGTTGACCAGAATTCAGCTTGAGATTTCTCAAGTTTGCTAATTTGTGTGTCACTTCCAATTATCTTGTTTCAAGTGTTTTGCTTCTTATTTTCAAATGTTGTGTTTGTGATCACTATTTGTTGAGTTCCTGACAAACTGTTAAACTCTGATTATGTGAGTGGAATGCACATGAGCAGAAAAGGTCTTTTGAAAAAGAGCAAGTCATTATCAATCAGTGGATTATTTGTTGTTATGTCACTCAATACAACATGTTTTACTCTCTTAATCATCCCTGTTGGGAGGTACCTTTCAGTTCCTCTAAGGAGTGATTCCGTGTCCTCTCCTTGACACAGGTCACTTGATTCTGGATGAAGACATGGACCGAAGAACTTTCATCGTTAGCACTGGAGAGATTGGCTCTCAGGAAACCATGACAATAGCACTCAGCACCACTCTGGAACTGCAAACACAACATAATGGTACTGTTCAGGTGGTGTTCTCCTCTGTGTTCATGCCTCTCGTGCTCACTAGTGAAAGAAGCAGCGATTTTTCAATCAGAAATAATGAACGACGGTAAGCATTAATAGGTTAGTCTTCTATAGACCTTTTGGGCAAACTGTAAAATTTAGCTTTTGGAACCTACTGCAGCAGAAGAGCACTATTAATCAAGCGTTCTTGATTTCTCTCAGTAATGTTGCCCCATGCTATACCACTGGGACATCCATCTATCATGTCACTCGGAACAATTGCCAATGTCAGGATTTTGCCACGAGAAAGAGGAGGTTTAAAAAAAAACATAGAGAACACTGGTAACCTCATTTAAATAGTATATCACCTTCAAATCATGTAGGCCTCAGATTACTTGCTGACCATCAACAATAAAGTCCCACTGACCATTGTTAGTACATTGTTAGTTTTTCCTCTGCTTCCAAGGTGTAATGTTGCACTATGAGGAGATATTCTAGGTATAATCTTGGCTCAACTGGGATAAGTTATTCAGCTTTGGGAGGCCAAAAACATGGCATCAATAAAATAGCACACTGATTGAGAAACCAAAGCCTGTGCAAAAGTCAACCCGACTGTTTCCATTCTGTCCTATCATCTAATGACCAGACAGTATTAAGGATCATGAATACCTGCACATGTCCCAAGGCAAAAGTTGTTTTGTACCACACTTGAGTAAGTAGACACATTTATCAGCCATCCACGGGTACATTTTCATGTAATTAATGGCTTCTGAAATACCCAATGCAAGACTAAGAGTGTCATGTCTACTGTTTAGCTACCTATATATGAATGTGAACACAGTATTTGTATCACACAGAGAAGGACAATGACAATTCCCTTATTTAAGTCCTACACCCATTTCCCACTCTCTCAGTTTGATAACATTTGCTTATTTACCACTGTACCACTTGAGTAATGGATTCATGCCAGAATGTTAGAAAATACACGTAAACATTAGAAGATAACATGGTAGTATGCCTTTGCTGTGCTTTTTATTTTTCATAAATTTATCATAACAAATCTGGTCTAAATCTGCATCTGTCTTTTTCCCCACTTTATGTGAATCCAGTTTCAGTTCTACCAGTTGTTTCAGAACAGGTGGACTGAAACCAGAGAAGTCCTTAACTATTGGACATCGGTGTCTGCCAGAGATTTTCAACATACAAGCGTTCAATCCAGTGCCATATGAGTTTCACTTTGAGATGCTGGTTCGAGGTCCCTGTCTGTTAGCTGGTAAGGGAATTCACAACATGGAACCATTTAAAGTCTTTGCCTAGAGATAATCTAGGCACAACAGGCCTTGTGCTTCGGTATTTTAATCATCTTAGTCAGTTTTTCCATTCTTTTTAATACCAACTATGATACTGTGGGCACTCTGTTTCCTCCATACTGTGAATCATCTTAGTCATTTTCCCCATTTTTTCTAAAACCAACTATGATACTGTGGGCACTCTGTTTTCTCTTATTGTTGAAATTAAGATTAGTGGCATTGTCTCCAACTCTCTCATTCATTACCATGACTAAGTGTCTCCAAATCTATCTCATTCTTTGACTTGACTCCTTACCTCTCTAATCTTTTTCTTTGTTCAACAATCTGCAGATTTTAAAAACCAAAGTTTGATGCCATTGGTGAAAAAGAAACTCTTAATGAAAATATTCATGGGAGGGGGGGGTGAGCAAACTAAAAGGTTAATGTTCTGTAACGGGTAGCAATCTAAACTACATATGGAGGTACTTGGAAGAAAAGCTGCTTTATTTCCAAACCGTGTAATTATTCATGATCTTCATAAAATATTCAAAGACATCTGGATGTAAAAATAATCAATAGGTTAAGTCAATCTAGTAAATTGATTTCTGTGGTTCTAGTATTAAATACAATTACATCTGACAGAAGAAATACAAAGAGTTTGCATGCTGTATGGACATTAATGCAGTAAGTAGATCACTCAGTACAAGTACAATGCCACAGGATTCTGAATTACAATTTGGGTGAATGCTTTTTTAGTCAATAAATTAAAGAATTGGACAGTTAAAATGCAGATGTAATTGAATTGAATATCTTACAGTGAAAATGCATTTATTTTAACTCGGGGGCGAGGGGGGAGAGACGCAATACAACTGAGAGAAATGCATACTGTTTGAAAGATGTCAAGGAGCCTCTTGGTGTCTAGCAGTGGGTGAGAATATGGGTGTGGGTTTGAATGTAAAACTCTTTACCACCCCAGATCTAAAATAAATTTAATTCTAGATAGAACACGAGTTAGAATAACATATATGCTATGGTTTGTCCAACACAAACAATGGCTTGTGTTTATATAGCACCTTTCATGTCAGCTGATCATCAGATGAAGAGTGGCCCAAAATGAAGTAAATATTATATTGGCAAAAATATCAGAAAAACAATGAGATTCATAGCCAATTATCAACATCCACCTGAATCATAAAACAGATTGGATCTCGGTTTACTGACTCATTGAATTGCTCTCGCACTGAAACATTAAAGCATTTACACAAAAATAGTTATTTTGCACATATATGTTTATACTTTAATTCAAGCCAAGGCAGAATATTTACACATCATGTTCCAAAAACACCAATTTACACACTCCTCCTTGCATCCTGGGTTGAAATAAAAAGTTATACATTGTACATCGTTATTCATTCATCATTTGCTTTGTTGTTAACTTGACTCCCTTTTCAAAATGCAACATTTGCTGTCTTCTTTGTCTAGCTTATTTTTTTGCTACAAACATAAATAAATGATACATATGAAACTGAACCCTGATGATTTTCCTTTCTCTTGAAGCTCCTATTAAAAGAGCAAAGTAAAAAGTGTTAGATAGGTCTCACGTTTTAATCTTACACAGAAAGAGCACCACTCGGTGCAGAGGAAATACTATTTATTGCTGCGATTGTGAGCAATGAAATGTGGTCTCCTAATGTTTGAATGCAACTATTTTATAGGAGTGGAGAGTCCTACTCACGCATTGAGGGCTGATGCGGATCCTGGTGCTAGATCTGCCTCTACAACATACATCACCCTGGCAGAATCACATCAGTATGATAGGAACCTCGAAATTATTTTACACCCAAGCGGTAAGCTACCTTTGATGAAAGGAGTCACTGTTATATGTGTATAACCAAATATCTGCGAGTATAATCTCTGCATTTCCACCTGAACATGACTGAGTATTAAATAATACTTCTAAGCAAAAAAAAATTAACATTGGTGCACAGATGCAAAGCAGGAAGCTCTGAAATCCAATGCTTCTTTTCCTACTTTTCTAAAATTTATTTTTGTCTTACTGTTAATGACTCTACTCTTAGCTCTTCATCTATTGATATTCTTGTCCTCTACATCTCTTCTGATCTGAATGAAATTCCTNAAAAAAAAAAATTCTCTCTTTCTCCCTTTCGTGTCAAGCACTTCTTTTTCCCCGAATAATTCTGAAATCTGTTCCACAATGAATAGTTGTTCAAACAGTTTTCTCTTGCCTACAGCACAAGATATATAAATAAAAGACTTGTCATTTTATAATTAGTTCATTTTTCATTGATGATAAAGTTTGATACATCAAGCATTTATTTTGTGTAAAAGACAAATCGGTCTTTTCACCGCAAAACTCTATCTCCATTGCAAACTTTTTCGCCTTTAATTAGTCCTATTGTGAATATCTTTCTGAGCTTTCCTTTCTTGTCCCACGCTACCTCCAAGTAAGCCATTTTACTCCCTCTTCTGTACTCTGTTGAAACCAAAACTCATTACCCTAACTTAACTCATTCCTTCCCAGGATCTCAAAACTACAGAATTCCTGATCTCCCTTTCTTTCTATTATTTCAAGGATTATAAGCATCAAGTTTATCCAATTATTATTTCTTAATTTATTTAATTCCTCTCCTTTTCAGTGTTGCTATTTCCTGCATCTTGGACTCCGGCTGTTCAGCTGTTTTTTTTTAGCAGGGGATGAAAGATGCATTAATATGATAGAGATCTGATAATCTCCCATACATCATAGGTAACACCATTTTACTCCTTGTTTCTGTTCCACAAGAGCCTCATGTACCACATGTTATACTGGAGGAAGGCAGTATGAGTTTCAAGGAGTATGAACAGCAGATTAGAAGCAGACGGGACTTCAGTAGAGTAGTGAAGAAGGATTCCAGCTTTGACAAGAAGGTAAGATACAGACATTCAACAGAATAGCAGCCCAACAAGTAAACTGGAATCATGGCAAATGAAGAAATTGCAAGCACTAACTGTAACTAGTTTATATGGGGAAAGGGCAGGTAAATTGGACTGAAAGAATTGCTCTTAAAAGAGCTAGGATAGACATGATGGGCCGAATGCCTTCTTAAGTGCTGTAAATTTCAATGGTTCTATAATAATGAGCTTGCAGCCAACGAAGCCATTATGACACTTTCTTCTTACAGGTTGAATTTGTCCGGAAGCGCTTTCACAAAGATATTGCATTCAATCCTGTGCTGATGCTCAACTTCTGCCCTGATCTCCAAAGTATTGCAACAGAGTTTGGACACGTTACCAGAGAAATCATATTCCTCATTGACAGAAGTGGCAGTATGAGCGGCATTCATATCGAAAAAATAAAAGTGAGTTGCAGTGAAATAGTTATGTAAATTCTTTAGATACATAAATTATCCATTAAACGTTGTATTCCATGGTCAATATTGTAAGTACCACTGATGCCAAGTTGAATTGGGAATAATGATATAATAATTATAATAATACTTGCATTTGATGTAGTGCCTTATCACATCATTGAGATATCTCAAAGGGATTCACAGAATATACTGTAAAGTGGATTGATTTTGTATTTCGTGGGCAAAACGTAGCAGTCAATTGCGTACAGTAGTGTCCCACAAACCGTTAAGGATTATTATTATAATATGATTATATTATTATTATGATGATATTATTGATCATATAGGACATCAATGTATCTGGAATCATATGACTTACACCAGTTTTTTGCTATTTTGTGATAGCTATGCAAACCAAATTATAAAACATGCTAATCATTAAAATATTTATCCAGGTACTCACAGGTCATCCATTATGTGTATAATAGAGATGAAAATGATCATTTAGTGATTCAAGAATAGTATTGCTATTTTCATACTTCTTTTGTAGGAAGCAATGCTAGTTGCTGTTAAAAGTTTACCGCCTGGGACATTACTGAACATAATTGGTTTTGGCTCCAATGTGAAGACTCTCTTTTCATCCAGTCGAATATGCAATGATGTGAGTAATTCTGGCAGTAAAACATTCTAACATGATGCTCCAATTGCTTCCCTGACTGAGACTCTTCACTAAGATTGCCAAGTGATTTACTAACTGAGAATCACACACTCAAACACTTGAGCACCACATATTTGCAGAATTCACACATGAAATTCTGGAACCTCTGGTTAACAATTACAGTAAATTCCTGATATAGTCACTCCAAGCAAAAAGAGCTCAGTGACTATACCATATATCCAGGTGACTATGTCATGAGTCCCCTGGGGTTGCGAGCTGCAACCAGGAGGTCTTCTACCAACATAACTGCGCAGTGTTTTATGCTGTAATCAGTTGTCATGTACCAACTCAATAAGTAGCACATGCAATGAATATTTAACACTTGCCATTTCACGTTATGTTTGTCACTGATTTAGATTTTCTGTCACTTCCTTCTGACAAGTTATGACACATTCTACGCAACTGACAGCAGAATCTGAGGCTCTGTACGAAAAGGATTTTTCTCACTTTTCCAGATGCTTAAGAATGATATAATTTCTGCAAATAGCGCTTTGGGCTTAGTTTAACCTTCTGAGGACAATTACAAATTTCCAGCTTTCTTGATTTTCACATTTCCCTGCGCTAGCCTGCTCACTGCAGTATAGGATTCACTTTGATGATGTATCCGACATTTTACTCACAGAGATGTGTGGAACGTGGCATTATATGCTATAAGCGGAGTGATGGTATTCAAATTTTATATGGGAAGCAGCAGGGATATTGACAACATGTTGATAAGCCGGTGTTTTATTATCAGTTCACTGTACTTTGTCTTTTTAAAGGACACCCTCTCACTGGCCTGTGAATATATCCAAAGGATGAGGGCAGACATGGGGGGCACCAACATCCTTGGGGCTTTGTCTTGGATCTTCAACCAGACAGTGCAACGTGGCTACCCTCGCCAGCTCTTCATTTTAACCGATGGTTCTATGGGCAACACTGCAAAAATCATCGAGTTAGTCCGAAAAAATGCAAGTTCTATAAGGTATTTTGCAACTTATTGGAGCATTTGTGCACACAATAAAAACATCTATTTTGTCGAAAATATAGAGTTTATCTGTTGCTCTTATTGAGCTCTGCAGCAAGAGTTTATCGTTTTGACACTGGGATGTTTCATCTAATATTCAGAGAAATGGAGGGAGAGGAAAGACATTTCTCAAAAGATTAAACACGCTGACCTCAATTCTAATAATTCTAATATCAGAGTTTAAATAGTTTGTGAGCAGTTATATTTTGAGCAGTTGTAACACCTTAGGTGCGCAAAGCTGCCTCCTTTAGTTTATGAAGCACTAATGGCATTGGTGCAACATGCAAACCGCTTCCAATATACAAGGTTTAGGATTTGCGGTTCACAATTGTTTAAATAGTTTTCAAGTAGAACACTCAATGTAGAATTGTACCACTCTACTGCTCATTTTGAAGAAATGTAGGAATAAAAGGTTTGACCCAGAGCACTCCACTCTTTCAGCAAAAGGAAGAAGCTTGTTTATTGGAAGAGACAGTTTGGGAGAGGGGATGGAGAGGACGAGGCATTCAGAAGTCTTGGAAAATTTTTTTTTTCTACTGAGAATCTTTGATGAAGGACCAGTGACAATTAAATTAAATAAGAAATTGAAAAGAGCAGAAGAGCATGTAGATTGTAAGAGGAAGGGAAGACTGAGTTTAGTTGCGAACCCATGTTATTAACTAATAAATGCAAAAAGGGTGACCAAGAAAGCAATTAGACTAAGTGCCTTTCTCAAAAGCAACTAGAATTTTCTTTATGACTCTCGCAAGCTAGCCTCATTCTTTTTAATTAAATTTTACTAAAACACAACTACACTGGGGAGTCTGAAACCTTTATATTAATAATATGCCGTGAACTGTACATGTTCAGTCTCTCTGTCCAAGTGTAGCTTTAACACTATAACTGCAGGAAAGATATTAGACAAGATGGTAAGCAATGATTATAGTGAAAAATAATTTGCTTTCTACCTACAAAACAATAATAATACTACTGAATAATCCTTGCATTTGATATTGCGCCTTATCACTTCTTCGAGACTTCTCCCAGTGCTTCCCAGAATATACTGTTAAATTAATTGACTGTATATTTTATAGCCAAAACGCAGCAGCCAATTGTGCTCAGCAGTTTTCCCACAAATAGTTCGTTGATTGAGTGACTAAATTATTATTATTTTTTACAATTTTTTTTTGAAAGGATTATTCCCACGGAAAGCAATCCGCCAATCAGCTAACAACTGGGGTCCTACTTACTGCTAGATAAACATAGGTGTGTGGAGTAAGGAAACTTGCCTAATGTTTTGCCCTGTCCAGGAGTTATTACAGTTAAAATAAGCTGCAGAGGATATATCATGATGTTAACAGTGACAGCTTTCCATTAGGTGTTTCAGCTATGGTCTGGGTCCCAATGCCTGTAAACGCTTGCTGCATGGAGTTGCAAAGGTCACTGGTGGAACGGTCGAATTTTTCAAAGAAGGGGAGAGACTGCAGCCAAAGGTAAGTGGCCTTATGTCATAAAGGTAAAAATGTGCAATATACATTTCTGCACAGAGGGCTAATATACAACCCAAAACTCCAGAATGTTTCTGCATAATTCAATCCCTCCACAGACGTTGCCTCCTTAAAAGCTACAGCACCGCAGGAACCTGCAATATTTGCTCATCCGATTTGTAACTACAAATAGACAATATGTAGACTACAAATAGTCACCTCAGCAAAAAGATTGAATTTGGCTCCTTAGTACTGACTTACCCACACACATGCACAGATTGTAGAACAGTGTGTAGATTTGTTTAACATATTTACACAAATCTAGAACCCTAATTCCATTCCTTCACTGTAAATCTCTATCTCAAGGACGAGACTAATCTTCCTTCAAAGCAAGACTTCTTGTATCAGTTTGGGGTCATTTTTTTAGTTAAAAAAAATGTACTTTGTAATATCTACATAATTGAGTTTACAGAGTAATTTCCAAGTAACTCAATTACTATGATTGCATTTGTGTGGATATTATGGGGTTAAATTCTGATGTTCAGGAAAGCTACCGACCCTGCTGACATCCACTTATAATGAGGGAATCCCATTTATAAGCACACATTGCGAAGGTTGGTGACTTTACTGACTGATGGATGTGTGTTCCCACACAAATTTTGCATCCCTGTATGTGTTAGTAGAGTATGGTACTACTTTATTGTAAATGCTAATAATGTATATTTCTTAATTTCTTAAACAGTTAATAAAATCATTAAAGAAGGCAATTGAGCCAGTAATGAGTGATATCACCATCGAATGGTATCTTCCTGATACTTTAGAAGTTCTTCTTTCTCCAACTGAGATTGGACCTCTATACCCAGGGGAACATCTGATTAGCTATGGAGTGCTTTTTGACCTCTCTGGGTTCCAGAGGAAAAAGAATACGGTATGTCCACCCGTGATTATGAGTGTATCTTGGTCCAATGTGTTTTGAATGGTTTATCATAAGGTAATCTGTTGCCAGAGAACAACAGGTAGCAAAAACAGTAGAGCAGGTTATTTTTTAGAAGGGAGAGATTGGAATGTGTTAGTGTCCAGAGGGACTTGGGTGTCCTTGTACACCAATCACAGAAAGTTAGTCTGCAGGTGCAGCAGCAATTAGGAAGGCGAACGGTATGTTAGCATTCATTATGAAAGGATTAGAGTATACGAGTAGGGAAGTCTTGCTGCAACTGTATAGGGCCCTGGTGAGACCACACCTGGAATACTGGTCCAGTTTTGGTCTCCTCATTTAAGGAAGGATATACTTGCCTTGGAGGGGGTGCAACGTAGATTTACTAGGTTAGTTCCAGGGATGAAGGGGTTGAGTTACGAGGATAGGGTGACCAATTTGGGCCTATATTCTCTAGAATGTAGAAGAATTAGAGGGGATCTTATAGAAACCTATAAGATCATCAAAGGGCATGATAGATAGATAGATAGTGGGAGATTGTTTCCCCTGGTTGGAGAAATTAAAACCAGGGGTCACAACCTTAAAATCAGAGGCAGCTCTTTCGCACTGAGTTGAGGAAGAACTTCTTCACTCAAAGGGTGGTGAATGTATGGAACTCAAAGGGCTGTTGATGCTCAGTTCTTGAACATATTCAAGACTGAGATAGATAGATTTCTTATTGCAAAAGGGATTAAGGGATATGGGGATTAGGCAGGGTCAGGTTATTAGCTGGAGTTAGATTAGAAGATCAGCCATGATTGAATGGCGGGGCAGGCTCGAAGGGCCGAATGGCCTACTCCTGATCCTATATGTTATGTTAACATCGTGTGGTTAATTAGTGCCTTTCTCGTAGACTAACATTCCAAACAATAACAATTTGATTCACAGAATAGTTTGTCATACTATACGACGTCATGTGAGGTCCCATACATGTGACGCAGGGTCATAAATCACGGTATTTATTTACGGAGTGGACTATAGTTTGATCCATTATAACACCATGATTAGGTCCATAAAATCACGCTGCATTATAATGGGTATTCTATTAAAATGGCCACCAATCAGAATTTCGAGGTCATCAGATCACCACTGATGTCACTTTCCTGCACATTGCACAATGAGCAGAAAGCATTTCCAGCAGTTGCTGAAACACGACTGAACATCGGGAAGCCTTCTGCATGCTGTGTGCAGAAAGGTACCCAGTTAGTGCAAGAAGTACTTCCACTATATAATGTACCTGCAGTATAAGTGGATTCGTGCTTTACTGAAATATGTTATAAGTGGTTCCAACTTATTTTGTTGACATTTGATGAAAGAATGCACCACAAATACTTTACTTTTACCAATCAGGACAAATCCTCTGACTCCTGTTGCTGCACTCATACTGGCAAAAGCTTTATGGCTTTATGTTGTGACATCATGATATCATTATTCTAGACTGATATTATTTAGCCTGGAGCCAGTAACAGTGAAAAATACTCAAAAGAGTGAGGTTTGGCAGCTCTATACTATGATTTTTGCTGGTGACAGAGGGGTAGAGTGATGGCGTTCCAGAGGCAATTCCACAGAAAAATCTTATGATATCCTGGTTTAAGATGACTTCCAACTACCTTATGAATAATATATGTTCTGAGAATGAAAGATATTATAAAATTCTACCGGAATTCTTTAAACTTGAAAAATAACAAGTGAACCTCTGGGTTGTTTCCTTTCACTTCAGGTCAAGCCACACAGTCCCAAAGCTCCATCCAGGGGGTCTACGAGCTCTGTTTTTCAAACTCAAGAGGACCCTCCAACACCAACCACTTCCGATAGCATCAAATCACCTCTCCTTAAAGAAAATAATGGCATTGAGGAGGCACTGAAAGAGATTTCACGGGAAATTTCTTTGGAATTTTCAGGTGGAAACGCTGAAGAAAATGAAAAATGTAAGCATGGAGTGAGAGTGAAATCGGCAGAGCTCATGAACTCTGTTGAAGTGCAATTGTGTTGACGTCAGACGAGGATAGCATCGGGTTTGGCAGTGACGCTCCCTTTCAACTGAATTGTTTGCTGGGACTCTAGGCATAAACATAAAAATAGCCACTTGGGTAGACTACAGTTCAGTGCCTTCCAGAAAAGGGGTAAAAATTGGTGGGAGTAATATGTCAATTTAAAAGATTAGTCACTGCTATCACCAATGTGATTCTTTAGATTGTTATTTTATTCCAGATTTTGAGACTGATCCGCTCCATAACATACGAAAGCGTATCTATCATCCTTCATATATCCATGAGCAGTACACACTGACTCACTGCTCTGTCAGCAGTGAGCGTGGAATCCCCACAACTACCCATGGCTCAAACAGCAGTGACTCCACAGAACCTCATGACATGGAATCTGCATCACTCCCGCATGGTTTGGAAAGCATCACTGAGCAGGGACAGAAGAGTTTGCTGCGGTGGGAATTGACAAGGAAACCATTCTCATTGCCTACCTCTGAAATGGTTATTAGTAAAGTAAGTAACTGCCCTGGTTTGTCACGATTTACCAACATAAATAAAGCAGCGAAAACAAATTGTTACCAAATGAAGGTTGCGTCTATGCTTAATTTGCAATGGTGCTACAGATGAAGGAAGAAAACACAGCATGAAATGAGGAAAGCCTCTTTCTCTTTTTCATAATTTCAATGAAGATTGAGGCAATAATAATAATCCTTGCATTTTGTATAGCGCCATATCACCTCGTTGAAACATCTCAAAGTGCTTCACAGAATATATTGTGAAGTGAATTGACTATATTTTGTGGGCAAAACACGGCAGCCAATCATGCACAGTAGTGTCCCACAAAAAGTCGTGGATTGAGTGACCAAACCTATTTTTGGAGGGGAGCGATTATTTCCCCCAGATAGCGATCTGCCAATCGACTAACAGCTGGGTTCCTACTTACTGCTAGATAAACAGAGGTGTTTGGAGTAAGGAAACTTGCTCATAGATAACATCCATAAATTAACTAACAACTACAAACAAAACAACTCAGTCAGAACAGAAATTTCTTCAGATCATCAACATTCTGGCTTCACAAATTCTCTAGAACATTGCAACCAAAGAGTTCTGCAGTTGTTTGCAATAAAAACATCACCTTGTATTAATACACGAAAGGCACCTCCAAATACCTGGCGTAGACTGTATGAATATGATACAGTGAGATCACGATTGCTTACCTTACAATTCCTTTTTGCATTTGCAACATTTAACTGTCAACACTGAAAAAAACATTCTGCGTTATTTTCAGAACTTTGCTGGAATTGATCCTTCTGCAGACGAGTCAAGGAAAAAGAGAAAAGTGATGGCACAAGCTGCTCTGTCCAATCGGAGCTTCTCCTCTCCAAACGGCCAATTGGACATGCATCACCTACACCGGGCTTTGGAAAAGGTATCTACTGACCGGGAGAATCTGAATCAGTCTCTTGGAGGAAGAATCAACGAATGTGGATCCCAGCAATTTCAGACCAACAGTTTATCAAGGAAGAGCCTCACCGATTCTAGTAAGCGATCAAACCTTTCACCCAGTCTCTAAGAACAGATAAAATAAGCTTTTATTTTTGTCATGTTTGTCATTATGTTCAACTCTCTGACAGGCTCAGTAAAGGCACAAAAAACTTAGAATAAAATTTGGAATAGGAAAATGCCAACGATGCAAAAAAAATCCTTTTGATTTACAACTCGCCATCGATCTTTTCTTTCTCCAGAAACAGATCCATTTAATTGTTGAGCATATTTACATTGTCTGCCACAATGGCCTTCCCAGGTAACTTATATCATGAGTTCTTTGTGCTAAATCATCCTGATTCCTTTTTTATTTCTGACTTGCCTATTTTCAATTCATATCTGTTTGTGTTTGACCCTTCACTGCAGTGAACAATTTGGTCCCATCTTCATCGATGTCCAGACACTTGCACTTGTAGTGATCTGGCACCCTTGCTGATTTTTCTCCTGAATCTATAATACCAACTTGCATTTATACAGTGCCCTTCTAATCCTGAGACCAATTGGTGCTATGGTTGAAATTACCTACGTTAACAAAAAAAATCAGAGAATAATGGGAGACCTGTATTACTCAGCAACTTGCTGAACAAACTCCCACTGCCATTTTTGTCACAATTTAACCAGTATTCATAAGTTTAGTATCAAAGCAACAGCAATGCTTATCCGTCATCTTTAAATGGACTGGGAGAGCTAAAAAGATTTACTGAAACATTAACTGTAAGGGTCCTACTCTTGGTTCCCGAGTGTGTTTTAACTGTTCATCCCTATAGGCAGTCTATCATTCCAAGCATCCACTCCAGATTGGGACACGTTCTTTGATCCTGAGAGCCTATTCTCCCCAGTGATCTCTGAGGAGCTAAGTGTGACTGAAACCGACAGTGTACCTGCAATGCACTGTAAATCAGTGATCTACGGCTTAATTTGTGGAAAGCCGGTCACCTGGGATGTAACTACCAGCCTTACTTCTCTCTACGGTGCATCAATTCAGGAAGAACCAATGCAGAATGAAGAGAATGTATGGAAAGAGATTCTTCATCAGTTAGCTGCTCAATCAGTCATCAAAGACTTTGAAAACATGGCAGAAAAAGAAAGTGAGATTGAATATGGTAAATACATTTCTATAATTGGTGTCTAAATAATGTTTAACCAACTTTTTCTTGCTTTTTTTTAAACTTCTGAAAAATGGCAGGGAATTTAAATTAATATAAGCCGCACTTATTTAGAACCACCATTTGCTGATTCATCTCATCTTCTCCACAACTGCTTTCAGCCTCAATAGTGTCTCCAAAACTGTGGCCTTAGCCATTCAGTGGTTACTCACAGAAAAAAGGAGCTAAACAACTCTCTCTTTCTCTCTGGAGGATCATCCAAAATATATCGTTTGAAAGCCATTCAAACCAGCAAAGCATGTAATTGTGTGTCCACATACACGACTACCATCCCAGTGGACACCAGCACACAAGATTGTTTATCATCGTTTGTGGAAGTGCGAAACACAGGTAAGATTAATATTAATTTATTTTCTTTTACTGTTGGCTAAAAAGATGAATCATCTCACATGAGAAAATGGTTTTCAAAGAGATGCATCATTGTGCAAAAGGACAAGTCCACTGAACTCAGAGCAAAACCTTTTATGCAAACCTTCACATAGCAAACAACGCTGTCTATTTTAATCTGTATCAATCTCAAATAAGTCAAATAATTTTGTCAGGTTTGATCTAATTGATAAAAAGCTTGGAAAAGGCACTTGTGGCAGGATTGGTAGAAAAATGGATGACAGAATAGAAAAACGAATATATATTTTAAAAATGATCTGTACATAGGCATAAGACCATACCAAATCTCCATGATTCCACATTAATGGCATAATAACCTGTAAGAACTACAGGAGATTACAAGAGGACATAACAGTTTAACAGAGTAGCAAATGGAATTCAATGTAAACAAAAATGCAAGCGTGCCTTGGGAGAAAGAATGAAGCAAGCAAAACGATTGTAATATTCTTCATGGTTGTCGGAACAGAGAAATCCTAGGGGTTATAGAATCAACTAAAAGATTCAGCCTGTTTTCAGTGGAACAGGTAAGATTGAAAGGGGATGTGAGAAGATAGTGAAAACGTATTCCTGCTGGGTAGCATAGATGATGATGTGAGTGGAAGAGTGAAGGAAGAAGTTATAAGAAACTCATCAGGAGGGAGCAAGAAATTGGGATTAGCTCTGGTATAGTAATAATCCTTGCATTTGATCACCCACAAAATATACAGTCAATTCACTTTACAGTATATTCTGTGAAGCGCTTTGAGATGTCTTTTAAGTGATAAAGCGCTATATAGCAAATGCAAGGATTATTATTATATAACTCCTAATCATCATTGAGATGTTTCAAAGCATTTCACAGAATATATTGTAAAGGTGATGGTTTGTATTTTGTAGGCAAAACGTAGTAGAACAATTGGTACAAGCAAATGGTGAATAGGTCAATTAAATTCCTATGTCAACATTGTGCATTACTTACCAATTGAGTTTCAAATTCTACATGATACAGTGCATACTGTGCTTTTATGTTACAGTTGCTTTTGATATCTCCAGTGAGTCATCTAGAATACTAATTTTATACTTGGACAGTCCACAGAAATCCTTTAGGTGGTTATTTAATTACCTTAAAAAAACAATAATAGTCCTGCATAAAATTATCAAATACAGGAACATTTCACTGTCGTAAGCAACTTTTGTTACCTCCATTCAAGGAGTTAAATTGAACCAGAAACGAGGTTCAGGCTCAGGAAGCAGACGCCAGAGAAGTTATTCCATGGGTCTGGGTCGAAGGTGTTCCAGCCATGACTCTGAGGGCCTGGATGATTCTTACATTTCCACAGGTAGTATTATAGTTAAGATTAAAGCTGTATTCATAAAATGTCTTAGAACAACACTAACAAAACTAAAAATGTTAAATTAGTAAAGGTATTATGATAAAAAAAACTAACTAGTTTTGTTTGCCCCCTTCAATGTGTTTCCCTCATCTCTTGAAAGAATTGACTTGTCTTGGTATCTGTTCATCAGGAGCTGGGCACTCTCCAGTACCTCACCCCTGCAGGCATTCCTCATGTATGAACCTTGCGCTCCAAGACGCTATTCCTTCCACAGACCACATACAACACCTGAGGTCATAGTCTATCATGGACTTCCCTTTATCTGATAGCTTGTTCTGGGAATGTGCTTTTTAATATAAAAGATAATCAAGCAAAAACAATTATTGAAATTGATTTCAAGATCCTCATCCTCACCTACAAGGCCATTCACGGCCTTGCTCCCTCCTACCTCTCCAACCTACTATCCCCCTACCTACCTGCCCGTACCCTCCGTTCCTCTGGCTCCGGTCTGCTCCACGTCCCCCGCCCCAACCGCCCTACTATCGGTGGTCGGGCCTTCAGCCTCTCAGCCCCGAGGCTCTGGAACTCCATCCCCCAGTGCCTTCGCCTTGCTTCCTCCCTTTCCTCCTTCAAGGCCGGTCTCAAAACCTTTCTCTTTGACCGAGCCTTCAGCTCCCCTCTCGACTCTCTTCCTCCTCCTCGCTCCCTCCCTTCCCTCCCCTCACCCTGACCATTTCCCCCCTCCTCTCTCCCTCCCTCCCCTCACCCTGACCATTTCCCCCCTGCTCGGGTCATGACCCAGCTGTGCAGCGCCTTGGGACGTCCTCCTGACGTGAAAGGCGCTCTATAAATGGAATCTTGTTGTTGTTGTTGTTGTTGTTGTCCGTTTCTCTCTGCAAACAACATATTCCTGACCCCAAGAGCATAGTGTCACGTGGACATATTCCTGTACCCTTCAATAATGTTCTTAAGTACATATTTACTGAATGAATCAACCTAGCATTAACTTATTTGGAAGGTTCTTACATACGCAACTCAGATCATCTTACAGTGATAACAGGTTATGAACACCAGGGAGATCTACTCTATATAACTGTATGAGCTAGCTCTGCTGAATTCTGTTCTATAACTGTACAAGGTTACTTATACTCTTCAACTGTACAGAGTTATTTTTGCTCTGTAACTATACCAGGTTACTTCTGCTCAAACTCTAGTGCGTTTTGACCCTTACTGTTCAAGACTATTTATGCTCAAACTATATGAAGACCTTTCTGCTCCTTTTCAGGAAAGGAAGATAGTGCAACTTCACCGACCAGCATTGGCTCATCTTCTTCTGGATGGGAACGTCAGAGTGCACTAGATGGTAAATAAGTTCATTTCAGAATAAATGGTTGCGTTAAAACACCTCACCCTTTTCAGATTTGAGGCTCCAAAACCTTCACCTACTGAAATGAAAACTGTTGCTTTCATTGGTAACGATATGAATGGAATAATAGTCATCACAGGGAAGCACCCTGGAATTCTGACCAACATGATATTCAAACATTTTTATTTATTAACATTTAGTGTTTTCCACTACTAATTTTTTTTATGCTCTATAGTGCATTTTTACCCTCTTACCGAGCCTGAACAGAATGATTTAGGTATTAGCTATGCATTTTATGACATTAGAGGTATTCTATAATCAACCAATAGAACAGTCATCTCACTGAGATTCCATTCTGCGCTGAGTTACTTGATCTCAGTTGGGCATCAATCAAGTGATTACAATTTGCCTCTGAGGACTACGGAGGGGAAAATTAGCACCTTCAGCACTGCATTGGAGTGTCGGCCTAGACCAGCAGTGGCTAATCTTTATGATTGGCCACCAAAATAAATTGTTTGGTTGAATATTTCTTGATTAAGGCCATAAATCTTGAAATATCTCATCAAAAAACCCTAAAAATACACTACCAATCGATCATGGACTTACCTAGACTTGTGAGAAAATTCGGGGAGTGGAAAGGGACGCTTCTTCACGGCTCCATGGGCCACAGGTTGGCCACCATATTTTCACCGATAAAATACACAATCAATCCACTTTGCAGTATGTCCTTGGAAGAGCCACTGACGCCTCGACGACATGATAAGTTGTTACATCAAATTCAAGGGTTATTATTGTACTGTGTTAAAATAAAAACTCAATAGATTCCCACTTTATCATTATTTCCCAGCACCTCAGCATTGTGACATAGAACTTCATAGAATATATAATCTACCATCAATGAAAGAAATAGAAAATTCTCATATAAAACATTCATATTTGATGTTTTGCACATAAATAGCTTTTAGCATTTAACTTCATGGAGTTACTGCATTCTCCATGTTCTTTCAGGAAGTGCAAGGAGCTCATCTATAGTATTTCCTCGGTCACAGAAAGCAGTGGAAAATCTCTTTCGATCCAGGTACCTTGATCAATTTACTTTTCATTACTTCAAGTGTTGATTCAAAGTAAATTATATTGGTGGAAAACTGAATGTATTCCATATATACATTATTTGTATGAGATAATATCTGAACACATTGACTTTCTATTGGGCTATTGGGAATTGACTGTCTCAGACTGCTACAAAATACACAATGAATCCAGTGAAAATTCCTGTCTCACATTAGTAAACATAATGTGATCCTGAAAACATTACAGTAAGTTTCTTAAGCATCATTAATAACTATTTAAACTTCTAAAATAAATATTACAATATTTTAAATTCAAATGTGCAAAGATATGCATGTTACTTGGGCTAACCTCATTCTTTCTCTGTCCTTTAAACTGGAATTGTTTTGAATTCAATCTGATTTTTTCTTTATTTTCAGTGTTAATCAATTACTGTAGTTCCACTTATTCTTCAGCCCCTCTGATTCATGAGCAATACGAGAAGCTTTGAATTAAGTGCAATTTGATTGGCTACAATCCAGCTCCAAAGGCTTTTTCAGTCAATTAAATGACATCTCAAGATTTACCTATGAAAGCCTTTGTCCTCTGGGTGCACAATGTTGTTAGCATGTTATTTAACTCTGCTCCATTCCCCACTCAGGATTAATCTGGGTTGGTCGAAAATTCTCAACCACACAGGAAAATCGATACTACTAAAACCCACTTGTCTGTCGAGCAAGCTTGACACCTCACCTACAGAAGAGATCGCAGACTATCTGCCATTGGTAAGAGAAACTGCTGATATTGTTTACTTTGTGGCTTGGTCAAAACAGCATAGCTGATTAATAATGGGTAGATATGTTGTAAGGTCAAAATTCCTGTCAATAATCACATTGCATTCTTTCTAATGTAACAGCATGCTTAATAACAGGCCAGTGATTTTACTCTAAACATTTGATATATCAATATCGTCTTTACAAACTTTTCAGAGGTTGTGTTAATAAATTGTTTAAAGTTGAGAAATTCGTAGCAGACACTGATATCAGTTACTGGATATGCACTAACAAAGACCTTGCAATAAGGACATAAGTAGGGAAGAAAAAAACATTACTTGGCATCCAACCTGCTTATTTCAACAGGACATAAATTGCACTGATAGGGACTTTACCACAACTTGTTTCATATTCTAAGGAGGTGCCCCTTAAATCAACCCCACTAGGGTTTAACCAGCTGTTTTCTACTAGTTTTTGTTCTGCAGATTTACCATTACAGCAAAGAACTTGGGCTTTACTGAAAGCTGTTAGTGAGAAACTCAGCTCGGTTCCCCAACTGTCCAGTGCCTTTGACGTCCTCTCTACCTGAAAGGCGCTATACAAATGTAATTTGTTGTTGTATGGCACAGATGCAGCTCTTCACTTTGTGCTTTCCAATTGCAGGTGCAGCTTCAGTTGGCATCTGGAGCTTTTGTTTTGAACAAAGCCTTTTCTGAAGCTCTTAAGATCCCACTTGATCGAATAAAGAGGGCCTCGCCATTCTCATCTCATCGAGTGAGCATCAGCCTACTCTCACGCTGCGTGTCACTGCAAACAGGGGGTAGCAAACCAGAACCGCTCCTTATGAGAGGCATCTCAGCCCCTAGTGGAAGCGAGTTGCAGTTTCAAGGTAGTAAGGGGAATGTTCAGTCAGTGCATCGAAAAAAACAAAGATATCTTGAAGAAAGCACAAAGGGTTCTAAAAAGATGGCATGGCCACTGTTGGAGAGTGACTTTGATGGTACTGATGTAACGTCACATGACATAGCCACGAGCAGCCCCGAGAATCTGAGTATTACCTTTCAACAAACTGATAGCGGGAGGGGCTCAGAGACCGACCTGTGCGAAAACTCTCCAGTCTCCTCTGAAGCCAGCAATGCCTTCTGTGAGCCAGCGAATGACCTGGACCCTCAGGATGAGGACTTAGAAGGGATGGGCTGGGCGACTGCAGTGGCACTGGGCTGGTTGGAGCATCAGTGCGCCAGTTATTTTGTGGAGTGGGAGCTCATTGCTGCCAAGGCAGATTCATGGCTCCAGGCACAACACCTTCCTGAAGGAGTAAATATGGGTGGATTGAAAGTTGCAGCTAGACAGCTCTTCTTGTTGCTACGTCATTGGAATGAGAATATTAAACTCAACATGTTGTGTTATAACCCAAATAATATGTAAATACAGGAAAATTTATGTACTTTATGATATAAGCTAGATTTTACCACTTGATTAAATAGCAATAAATATATTACTCCATATTTTGAACTGCTATTTTCTTATTTTGGTATTCTGAGGTCATGAATGAAAGAACTGCTGATATTGGGATATTATGGAGTCCTGAGCTCAGTGGTTGGAGCACTTACCTTGCAAGCGAGAGACTTGGGTTCAATTCCCAGCAGGGCAAAACATTGGGCAAGTTTCCTTACTCTGCACGCCTGTTTACCTAGCAGTAAGCAGGAACTCTGTTAGTCGATTCGCAGATCGTTTTTGCAGGGGTAATAATCCCTTCAAAAAAATGAATAAAAAATGTCACTCAATCCATGACCGTTTGTGGGACACTGCTGTGCGTTTCACCCACAAAAATATAGTCAATTCACTTTCCAGTATATTCCGTGAAGCACTTTGAGATATCTCAAAGGCACTATATCAAAATGCGAGTATTATTATTACTGAGCACAAAAGACCAATTTGCCAAGGTATATGATCACAGCAAAGGCAGCAGTTGGGGTGCTGCGATTGGGGTTAATTAGTCAGGTAACATTTTATTTCAGACACAGCTGTTAAAATGCTGCAGTGCGTCTGTATACGGCTTCCATTTTATCAATGCTTGCATATGATCAGCAACTATTAAAGGAATGAGTTTAAAATATATTTTTTCTGCATCCAGCAAGAAGTAACCACGTAGTACAGGGACTGTGGTGCTTCTGGAACTTATTGCAAAGACTATGTTCTAAGTGGATAGGTTGATACTTAACATGCCATTTCTGTCATCTCGAACAGTTACTCAATGAACACAAGTAGAGTTGTTAGCTTGGTTCGAGGGTAGGCAAGGATTAACTTTCTTAGAAATCAAATTGGTTGAAGTCATTTATTTTCTGTAATCCAATGTCCTATAGCTGTGGCTGTTTACACATGACAGTGAGTGCTACATAGACATTTGCATCATTGCTGAAGGTTCATATAGAAATAATTTCCAATTGATCACAAAGAAATTCAGTGTTCAATATGCATTATAAAACTATTCAGCAAATCCCAGTAAAAGCACACCATGTACAACAGTGGACAACCCCACTTATGTAAAGTTAAGACATAATTCGGAATTTAAGAGTTAGAACTGAGGTGAAGAAGCATTTCTTCAAAGGGGATTGTGCAGGTGTGGAATGCTGACTCCAGAAGGACGTAGAGGTGGTAGAATCAATAAAGATATATAAAATAGAGAGAGACAGATACCTGAGTATTAAAGGGTATGGTGACAGGGCAGAACGTTTGGATTAAAAAATCTACCAAGATTTAGTAACCGCGTGGAACAGGCTCATTGGGCTGAGTGGCCGCTTCCTGTTTTATGCTCTATAAATGTAATGTTGTTATTGTTCCTCTGTTCAAAAGGATAACATTTTGTACGTTGTAGATTTAAAAAGTCATTCAAGTCTCCTCCATCATTTAATTGGATCATACTGCTGCCTACCAAATATCCATCTGCCGCCTTCTTAAATATTTCAATTGACCCAGCATCTAAAATCTTTTGTGGAAGTGAATTCATCATTTCCACAAACCTTTGTGAGAAAAAAAAATGTTGTTCTGAATTTTTATATCTAACTTTAAGATTGTCCACTCATTCCTGATTTACCTCCAAACCAGTATATTTTTCCTGATGAATGACACAAACTGAACACAATATCCCAGATGAGGTCTAATCAGGGCTCTGTACAACTGTAGCATTCCTTCCTTGCTTTTTTATTTCAATCCTATTGAGATCAAGGCCAATATTCCGTGAACCTTTTGGATTACATTTTGTACCTGTGAACCTGGTCACCTGAATCCCTTTGCTCATCCACTACTCCATAGTATTTTGCCTCCTTCCTCCCAATTAAGAATTTATTCCAATTTGTCTTCCTTAATCCAAAATGGACGGGGCCAGGTCAACTAATCTGCCTGTATGCCTTTGCAATCTCCTACTTTCATCTTCACAATTTACTACATTTCCTTGTTTAGCATTCCCTGCAGAATTGGATATACTGTCCTCTACTCCTTTATCCAGGTCATTTACAAGGAGCAAAGCTGAAGCCCCAGTACAGAACACTGGGAAACATTTTTGACTCTAGAACATTAGAAAATTATAACTAATATGCATCTGTAAATTCTTTACTTTAATATCTTGGTGATAGATTTGTCTACTTTGATTCCCATTAGTTTATCTATTGCCATGTTTTCTGTTCATAATAAATCCTGAAGGTTCCTCCCTTAGTTTAGCTCCATGTAGTATTTTATCCTTCGTCTCCTTAACTCCTTAAACCAGCCACTAAGTTTGAAACAGGTGTGCATTGCTGTAGATATGGCACTGTTAGTTAAGATTTTCAATGAATTTTCACTGAAGTCACCCCATAGTAACCTCAGAATGCAAGTCCCAATCTCAGCACTCTGCTCAGTTTTATCCTTTTGACAAAGTGGCAAACATATCTGGAACAAAATGCACGGTTACTTGATGTCAAAACTGTACAAATTGTCCTTTGGCCAGATGTATATGTAACTCACCCAGCATGCAATATTATGGTATTAGGTCCGAGAAGGAGTGAATTACAAGATGTTGCACTAGTGTGCCCCAATTCTGGAGATTAACTGCAAACTCTTTACCACAGTCACACACTTGTGGTGTACAAGACCTGTTTAAAATTCTCTTTTATACAGTCATTTGTGTCACAAGATGGTATACTCTAAAAACAGAAATAGAATATTTGATCTGAACAAAAAAAGGTAATAAAACACAACTTTTATGAAATTAAAGTTCAGAATTCGACCTATTAGCTACACTATTCCAAACCTTCGAAAAGCCCACATTCATTTTCCTTGGATACAGAAATAAGGCGAGTTGAAATAAAATGCTGGCATGGCCCAAGTGATAACAACAGAGGACACAGGCAAACTACTGCTAACCAGAATTATTCCACCCTAAGCACAAAGCTAATACTTTGATCTAGGTTCTTTCTTGGAACGTGGCTCCATCTCGGGTATGGAAGTTCACAGTAAAACTTAAGGGGAGAATATAACTGCAAACCTGCATGCAAAAAAAAAGCTGAGCATGACATCAAAGTTCCTGTTTCCATGCAGTCAGTCCAGCTTGCTAGTTTCCCCCCTTCTCCCAATTATTTAATTTGGAAATGCCCAGCCAATCACCCTGAATTCAGGAGAATTTATTTCTCCCCAAATAAGTTAAAACCAAGGCTGCCATGTTGCAGGACCAGCTACAAGTCCAGCAAATTACTTCCTCTTCTTCAGTGTTTCCAGCTCAGTTGCTGATGAGCTCTTCTCAGGATCAGAGTAACTGTACCACAGAGACAGGAGAATGATCAGGTGGCAGGTGTGGAGAGCCAGCGAGCTGTACACAGTTGACGGATAGGTATTCCATGCCAACTCAATTAATCCCAGAATCAGTACCCTGGGAGGTGGAAAAAGAAATGGACGTCAATTCAGAACAGAATATTTTGAAACAATTTTGACTTTTAAAGAGGAAATAAAGTCCAGCTTTTTTCCCCCCCCAAATACTTCCACAAGGAAGAGAAAAAATAATAAAACTATGTTTTATTTAAGAATAAGAAATCCTCGCTTAGATGCATCGCTTCCTGCTCTGGTCTACTGAATTGTCAAATATTAGGGGGAACAATCAGAATGGCTACATCCAGTTTCAGGATGCTTTGGATTTGTATCTTAGTCAATCCAGTCCCCTGACCCCAGAATCAGGGAATACTGATTATTATCAATTATTATTGTTACTTACTTGAACAGGTGAGCAACGTTTTTCACATGGGTACTCCACAGGAGGTATGGCAAAGTATGGAAGTACCAGACATAGAACTGATAGTGTAATGACCTGCTGAAACACACACCAATGAAATTCGAAGTGAAGAGGACAAAGATGATCTGTACTCAGCAGTCAAGGAAAAAAGTGGCTGCGCAACTAAGAGATTGGAGAAAACTACATAATTCAATATTCGACAACACACTCTTCTGCCTTTGAACACAAGAATTCCAGAATTTCTCACCACTCATATTGTGCACTGAACATGACACCAAAGAATCTGTGGTAGTCACAGATTGTGTGAACCCATTGAGACTCTGAATATTATATTATAAGATTTCGATTCATTGCCTTACACAAGATTCTCACATCATCAATAACTAAAGGTACCGCATCACTGATGGAAGGATATGATTTGCTGTCAGGGTCTGGCACTGAAATTTTCTTTGTTTTGGATTCTTCAAAAGGGACAAAATTCCCTCCTCGGTTCTGCAGCACATAAACCAAAGATTTGGATTAGTAAAATATTTGCTTACACAACAAAATTACAGGATTAGGTTATACAGCATTTGAAATACAGTTTGACAGATGTTTCCATTAATGGTATAAAATGTTTCCCACTGAATGTAAACTATATTAAATCATTTTATCACTCCTGTTCTATAAAGAACCGACTGCGGCCAGGTAGTCAAAGCTCTAATGTTAATTTGGTGTCAGTGAAAATACGTATCAAAGCCTGTAGAATTAATTTGATGTATCTACCTAGCTCAGCACCAGAATACATTACATAAGGTCCTGGCACTTCTTTGTGATCCAGCTCAGACTAGCTTATCTTGTCTGACAAGTACCTGCAAGTGATGAGTTTCGACGATTCTCAACCAACTTCTCAGTACCGACATACAGCACAAACTGTCCTCAGTTTGACATTAAACGTGCTCTCATAACTCTTTGGCATAGAAGATGTTATACAAGTTCACTCTGGGTTTTCATTTGAAGTTAAGTCATATTAGGAGCTTTACTCTGCACCCAACCTATGCTATATCTGACCTGGCAGTGCTTGATTGATGCTGACACTCAGTGCTTAAAATGGAAAAGTGTTCCAGTACAACACTAAAATCTCTTACCAAAAACAAACAAAAGAAAAAAAATAAATACACACCAAAACAGGGTAGAACTGGATTCATTGAACCTTTTCTAGTAGGTGTCATGCACTCTGCATCCGGAGCCCACAAGTTCTATACTATCTACACACAAACTTCATGTAAACACACCTACTTGTTCCACCTATACAGCAAGAAGAGAAGCAGTGCACTGAGGTGAGCAACCAGCAGCAACATATGGAAATAGCGGTTCAGGAAGATTTCCTCAGGCAGAAAACGCCAGTTTACCGTCCATTTAAAAAGAAACTGCCGTCTGAGATCAAATGCTCGGGCCACATAGCCAACTGGATTCTCCATGAGGAAGGGCAGGCCCAGTATTACCTAAACATGAATCAAAAATACCAAGAACTAAAGATATATTTCTTCAACCAAACAAAGATATACAATGCAAATAACTTTTTTTTAACACAAGAGAATCAAAAATCAATTTCATTATGTTTGGCACATCCTCATACTTCTATATTAATCTTTCACTACCGGTAATCACTTTTGAATGTCAAGCTCACATTCAGCTCAAAATCAATACTCGCAGGTGAAGTAACTATTGATCTCCTGGGACCATAACTATTAACCCCAGCACATTACTCCTATTTCAATTTGCATGTTGACCTGAAAGATAGTTTAATTTTCTAATGTCACATAGAAAGTTTTAAAGAATGGATAAAAAGGAGGAATGTCAGATGAGAGGTGGAATTAGAGAATTGGAATCGCTGCAGCACAAGTGTGAATATCATTGGGAAATTAAAAGGAAAGTGGAAGCATTTTTATAGCGGGTACAACTTCAAAACATCACAACGTGCAACACATTAACTATTGTCACATGTAGTGAATGTTTTACAGGGATATAATGCGAGCACAAAGAGTCATACAACAATGTAATACTTATACAAAAGTCTACTTGAAAATTACAGTCATTCTTAATCAAGTTCTATTTTGAGTTCTTGCAAATTCAAATTCTGAAGTATGCAGCCTATAATCTCTGTGTATAACAAGAAAGTGATGCTAATCACTTTTGACTGGACCACTCCAGGGAATACCAAGTCCTAAAAGGGATTTTTATTCAAGGTGTCAGGAAGGCAACAAATCCTGGATTTTGAGACCATAGAATTATAATTGAATAAAAGTGCCTAAATAATGGACAATAAATTCTACCACTATATATACATTCAGTGAGTTCAGTGGATTTCAGCCATTCATTTTGGAAATGTTCAGGGGTTTCCAATAAGTGGTCTTTGCTAAAAACAGGTCTAAACTTCACGTGAATTACAGCAGAACACGAGTGAATGTTGTCACTTGAAAGAGAATTTAAAACAAGAGAATCCAGGTCTAATTTATAATACAAAATTATCAGTTAAAAAAGAGAAAAAATATAAATCAATAAGATTTGAACTAATAATTAAGAGTAGTTTATTACATGTACCAAACCTCAAGTGATTTATGCATTTGTACACATTCTACATACATATTTGAGAACCTTTTGTTTAGCTACAGGTAGAAACATCCTGCAAAAAATGAGTTCATAAACACAAAAGAAATTTTCAATAGAGCTGACTTGCCAAAGAAAATCGTGGTAATCAAGAGTTAACAGCAAAGCATTAAGTTCAGGCAAAAAACAGATTCAGTTTGCCTGTAAACTAGACTAACATCTTCCACCTGTTCTTGTAGATAAAGGGATTTAGATAGTCATCAATTGTTTATTCTGAAAGAGCAGCCAGGCACTGAGTCACTGGTTAATGGTGATTGAAAGGTTTAGCAACTTATAAACATTGAGACAGGTTTGTCCTAGATTAAAACCTATCTGAAAGCAAGCTCAAATATCTATTTAAACATGCATTAATAATGCTGTCATGCATTTCAGAATGAAGGCGCATTAGCAACCAGAGTTATAATGAACTTTTTTTTGCTTCAAAATGTCAGACACAGCAGGAGTGAAACTCTGAGCTGGCAGAATAAGAACTGCAGGATACAAGAACAAGACGGGGAGGGGGCAATAATTGGTTTTAGTGCTTTAATTCATTTGAAGCAAGCAACAATCTAGGGCTTCATTACTACATGCTTTCAAAGGTCTCTTTGAAATGCGCATGTGCTTCTATGCCCATTTATTTGAAGGATGGCAATGATGGGAATAGAATATTTTTCCACTGTGGATTAAGCTTTCATGTCAAGTATGGCACAGGTCAGATTTATCCATAAGGACAATCAGTCACAAACACCGAACCTCATCAACTGTACTGTATTGACAATTGCATTTCCCACAGTCTAATTGAATAATAGGATTAACAGAACTAGAACTTCAAAATACAAACAGGAAATTAAGGGACATTTCACGGTTATCTGTTTAAGCACTGTAAACACCTTTTATATTGTAGGATTTATAACCTTATAATAAATGCAAATATCACAGAGGGAATCCTTAATCTCTAGTCTACACCTAAACCCCCAAACCAAAGACAACATGCTCAAAGCACTATAACCCCTCCTTCCCATTATAGGCAGAATGTTCTGGTTTTAGAAAGTGCATCCCCTGAAGTTTCAAATACCTGCAGCCCAGCACAAATTCCAAGCTTCGGGAGGGTTTGCACAAATCCAAACTCAAAGAGGAGAAGGAAGAGCAATCCAGGAGCAAAGAGCAAGATGTTCATCTTTACCGAAACTGCTAAACTGCCCAGGGTAGAAAAGGTAATAAAATTAAAATCTTCAGGTCCAACAGAAAGAGTTTAACAAAAAAGTACATTTATAAAACAGAAGAATCTATATACACCCTGTTGCTCTTCAGAACTACTGGTATTATAGTAAATGGTGCTCATCTCCCCCTTCATTTCTGTTTTCTGCTTTGTGTGAATGCACAATTTTATTACAATTGACAGACCTGAATGTATTAGTCTCACAATTAAGATTGGTGGCAGAACACTTTTCTACTGTTTCAAGTGCCAATATCTTTGTCCTAGAATGTGTCTCAGAATCAATGCAAACATCATCCCATTGCTTAGCCATTTGATCTTTAATCTCGGAAGAACTCTTAATTGTGTCTTTATTTCCATATGGTCTATTCTTATTAGGCATCTGTGTTATTAATCAATCAGTATTAACATTTGTCAAATTATAGAAGGTTACTGTCCATGTTCCCGAGATCCAGATCAAGAATTCCCTGACTGGTTCAATTTAGGACCCTGCCACACTTCAAAGATAAACAATCATTATTTGATCTGTTTATTGATCATCTTTGGTACAGAACTTATCTTCAATTAGTACGCTGCTGATCAGAACCCAGAGAATGTGCATGTATTCCTTCCGCCCGGGCTGAATTTGATCTCAGAAACAGCTGACAATATAACACAAAGCCATGACATTTTTTCTCAACTCCCAAATACGGTGGATTCATTTCCTGACGCATTGGTATCACTAGACTCTTTCTACACTGAAATCAAGACACAAAACAAATCCAATTTGTTACTTGCCTGAAGAAGAAACAGCCGAGATTCCAGTGGCCATCGAGAAACAGATTCACGGCCAGGTAAAATATAAGCATAGCCACAGGGTCGTTGAAGAGACGCAGAATGAAGATGGAGTGGATCCGATAGGAGGCACAGCACATAAAGAAAAATACAAAAGGTGGAACCTGCAAACATTAACCACAAACTAAGTTAATCCAAAGAACTTTTTTTTGAAAGCATGCTTTAAAAAAGTAAATATTGGCCTTCATGGGAAATAGAATCATATTATGATATCGAGCCATTAGTTGAGGAAAACATTAAAGGAAAAAAGCATGAACAATAAATCCAGAGCAGATAGCCCCAATGAGGGAAGTGGTAACAATACAAAATCAATAAGTAGAATGTTTTCTGTGATGTAAACTGTCTATGATTGTAAGTCAAGTATCCTATTTCCCACCAGTCTCTATCATCTATATCGCACCATTTGTTTTACTAACGAGAACAAGATCAGTTCTGCAAATCTCTATTCATAATCTAGAGCTCCATGTCACCACAATGTCATCATCACCTTTTTTGTGCGATTGTAGATCCTGAAGACCAGCAGCAGGGTAACGAGGTAGAAGATGGCAAAGATATATTGACCGAGGCGGATATTCACTCCATGATCCGTGATATAGTACAGCATTGTGAAGATATAGACAAAGCCGGCAGGGTAACTGCAGTGAACAAAATTAAAACTTTTTTCCCCCCACAAGATACAGTCAAACCACTTTACATCATTGAAGCGCTTTAAGATGTCTTGATGATGTGATAAGAGGCTTATATCAAATTCAATTATTATTATTATTGGTAGGTAAAATACACACAGAGATCCTTAAATGCGCAACAAGAGACAACAGTAGCAGAAGACACTTATACTGTACAAATTTTCTGCATTCAACATATATGTACAAAAAAAAGCACATCACAAGCAATAACACAATCCCATCCTCCTCTCCTTAAGCAGCCAGCTTGTGCAGTAAAGCTCCACATGTGTTAGTGCCACTCTCGTACCTCACACCCAAATAGCTGCTCTTCATATTTGAACCTCAGTAATGAATGCTGGTGGGATATACAACCAAGAGAGATCATTTCTTGTCACTCAATACTATCCTATCCTCACCTGACATTCACAACTTGGGATTGCTAGCAGGGGGCACTGGATTCCCAGGATCAAGATAAGGGTGAATTAAAAGTAAAGCCCTTGTCAGTTTTTGATCAAAACCTTTTGACTATGTAAGACCTAAATCAATCTTATTCCAAATTTCTACATAATTTGTGAAAATTGACTGTCAGTAGTACACAATGCATTTTCAGGCAAATGGGATGAAATTCCTCCCTCTCTTTCTGCTAAATGGGAGGGTTCAATATAAAATGAGCTTAGGCTGGCAATTCCTCTCTTCAATTAGAAAACATGTCTTTCAACAGCTGCTTTCTGACCCTGCAAGAATTCATTCTATATTATGGCACCAGATGGCAGCAACAGCTTTGGAATCACTTACACCCATCTCTCCCTTACTTAACTATACCATAAACTCTTTTCAAGAGTTGCAATACAAAGTAGGGTCTTGTTTTGAGTGCTACTTTTAGGAATGCTGCAACATCCTGCCTTACTTGATGATGCCCCGTAATTAATATTCCACTGATCAGTGATCAACAAGCAGATTCAAGTTGAATAAATTAGAAAATGTAACTTCCCTTCATCATAGACAAAATATTTTAAAATATACACTATTTCCCCCACCAACGTGATAAGCTCTTAGGACACAGGGTTTAAGTTGGATAAATCAGAAAACGCAACTTCATTTCATCCTGGTTAAAACATTAAGAATCATTTTCTACATCAAAAGAATTTTCTACATCAAAAGAGTGCTGATACATCAGGGGGTTTCTGCCCATTGGAGAGCTAGCTACTATCCATTGTACAAGCTCCATAATGATACTTACACCAGAGGTCCTGTCTCCCCTTTCAGCTGGGTATAATCGTATGTTCCATTGATTACACCTTCTACCTCATCCATGTAGGCTCTCCAATCAATTTCTGTATCTGAAAGGATATAAATTATAATTTGACACATCTTATTTAAGTCTGCAATTGTTTTGCGAATGTCCTCTTCAGGCAAGGGATGCTAGTTCTGATAATTTATGTTCTTTCCCACTTGTCAATGTCAGGATCAAGCACTCTGAGGTCAGGTCAAATACATACTGGAGTAAAATGCCTTCTGAACTATTTCATCAAGGGTATCCAAGTCTGATAACAGCATGTGTCAGACTCAGGATAAAGTTATACAATATTTGTAACCCTTACCAGGCACATCAGAGGATTAGATACAGAAGAGTAATTCTTGCATTTGATACAGTGCCTTATCAAGTCATGTAGCATCTCAAAGCACTGAACAAGACTTTTACTGTAAATGTAGCGACTTATGTATTTTGTAGGCAAATGAATAAGGCTCTGACTGCACTGTCCATTCAAGCAATTCAAGGAAAGTTACAGTAGATCTTAGATGCTATGTAACACTCCAATCCAACAGTCTGAGAAGAGCGCTCCTTGCTGTACGAGCGTGAGATATCAGTTCACACACTAGTCATCCTGATGCTCTTCGAGATCTTCAGTATTTTGCTGAATGAAGTTTTGTGCTGGAAGTTGACAGCACCTGGAGCCTAACTATCATTCCAGTTCCAAATGACCCCGGACATTCTACAACACTTTAACCCGGGAACGGGGCAAGTCTCAACTGCCATTAGAAATTACCGCCGTCGACCGCAAAACATTCGCTCCAAGACGTTTGTCGTCATTTCAAGAAAAAAAAAGCACAAACGTCGCAACCGCGCGGTTAAAACTAAACGAACCGGTCCGGCTTGTCGCCGCGAGTTGGAGAGGAGTAACATAGTGCACGCGTGGCCCGTAGAGCCACTGGACACTGGCCCACAAAACCGCACCGACCCTCAATAACTTACTCCTCGCTCAAGAGAAGTTCAGTCGCTGCTGAGGGCGGTCAAGGGGAGGGCGAGACGGGGGCCGCGGAAGGAAATTAATAACAATAGTGACCAGCGCCTCCCTCCGGTGAGAAGGAACAAACAAACAAACCAACAGATAAATAAATGCTCGTTTGGGTCTCAGGCGCCTCGAGTCGCACTGTTTAGTGGCTACAAATCACTGGGACCGGAGACCTGGGGACTTAACAGCACATTCAGCAAAGGGGGGAGGAGGGGAGAGTAGGGGGGGAGGGGAGAGAGGGGGGGGAGGGGAGAGAGGGAGGGGGGGAGGGGAGAGTAGGGGGGGAGGGGAGAGAGGGGGGGGAGGGGAGAGTAGGGGGGGAGGGGAGAGAGGGGGGGAGGGGAGAGAGGGGGGGAGGGAGAGTAGGGGGGAGGGAGAGTAGGGGGAGGGAGAGTGGGGGAGAGGGGGGAGTGAACGTGAACCATTAATTACAGAGAACGAGGGGCTCCGGTTACTCACAGGCCACCCGGTGGATGACCCACAGGCTGACCCAGGCCTCCGCCGCCCACAGACAGGAGGCCACCAACACCGTGTGTTCGGCTTCCCACAGGACCCGGTCCTTCGCGCGCCATAGCTTCTTGGCGTAATCAAACCCCCGGCTCCGGCCGCAGGACCAGGCCGCCCCGCCGCCCTGTGCCTCGGCCTCCCAGGCGCCTTCCCCGCCGCTGTTGCTCTCTCCATGCACCGGAGACACCTGCCCGAGCAGCACCGGGAGGGGGTGTGGGCGGGATCGAGAGGAGCGGTTGTACGGCGGAGTTGTGCGGCGCCTCAACGTGGGAATGTGTTTCGGTGACGTGAGGGTAGCGCCGCCTGACCGGAAGCAGTTGCGGCGGCACGTGGGGGCGGTTTAAAAAAAAACGTTCAACGGAAAATGCGCGAGCGTGTGGGCGGCGCGTGGGGCGTGGGCGGGCGACGTGGCCAGATTGGGCGGGTTTCTGCCCCGATTGGGCGGGTTTCTGCCCCGATTGGGCGGTTTTTGCTTCCGCGCGTGTAAAATCCCTTTCCCGGCGGCTGCTTCATTTTTTAAAAAAAAAATGTCGTTTGGATTTAAAACCCGCAAAACGCGCGTGGGCGCCCCTGTCCTGACGCGGTCTCTGAAGCACAGGCCCTTACGTCGGCCACTCTGCTCCCCCCTCCCCCCCCCCCTTCGCAAGTGTGGGCCCCACTGGAGTCCATCCCACCAACCACGACGACGACGACGACAACAACGACGACGACAAGAAGCTTCTGGAACTCCATCCCGCAGTCCCTCTCCCCACCCCCCACACACACACACACCGCCTCGCACCCCCTCCCTCGCCTGCTTCGAGACCCACCGCAAGACCCTCCTCTTCGACCGTGCCTTCGGTCTCGCTGCTTTTTCCTGATTTTTCCATAGTTTTCCTCGTTTCTTCCTCGATCGAATTTCGGACCCGTGAATCGATGCGCGGGTTCCTCACACGTCCCCTGTTTGACCTGATTTCAACCCCCCCCACTTCGACTTAAAAGTCGATAGCTCCGGTCTTCGTCGTCGTCGTCTTCTTCTTCTTCTTGCCGCCGACCGCAAGCTCCTCTGCAGCTTCTGTCTTCGTGGGCGCGCCGGCAAACGTTTCGCTCGATGGCTTCCAAGCCGTCCCGCGCCGAGCGAGCGAAGCGAAGCCGGTGGCAAGGCGCAAAAAGGGCGACGTGTTTCGGGGCGTCCTCCCGACGCGAAAGGCGCTCTCCGAGTGTAACTTTGTATTGCGTTGATCTTGGCGCCTGCGGACACCTCTCGCAATGCAGAAAGCATACCTTATCTACAATAATAATAACAATAATAATCCTTGCATTTGATAGAGAGCGCTTTTCACGCCTTCTCGAGTCTCGAAGCGCTTCGCGGAATACGCTGCAAAGTGAATTGACCGTACATTTGTGGGCGAAACGCGGCAGCCAATTGCGCACGGCAGTGTCCCACAAACGGTCCTGGGTTGAAAATGACCAATTTGTTATTGTTTTTGTTTTTTGGAGGGATTATTATAAGGCGTGTGGAGTAAGGAAACTTGCCCAAGGTTTCACCCGGCCGGGAATCGAACCCAGGTCTCTCGCTTACAAGGTGAGTGCTCTCACCACTGAGCTACAGGGTGGCTGGGCTATGTGCACACATGCCAGTCCGTGAATTGTTCTCACGGGGCTGGTGAGACAGTTGGAAACCCGAGTGAGTGCGGAGAGGTAAAGTGTGAGGTTGGGTGACGAGTGTCACGAACAAGTCCTTCAAGAAATGGAAGCTGAAGTTCCCGCAAATGGTGAAAATTTTCCCCCGGTGTGAACCAGCTTCCAGAATGAAAGAAAAAGATGCACAATCAGACGCAACCAACTTGGGTCTTGGGTCGAGGTACGTGGTTCACAGGGAAGAAACAGTGTCAATGGGATCTTTAACATCTACCCGAACATCTCATCTGAAGGACACACCTCTACCACACCGCCCCACGCTGGCATGTCTGCCAGACTCTAGTTTCAAAGTCCTAGTGCGGGGCTTCAACCTATAACCTGACTAATAGGCGAGAGTGCTCTCAACTGAACCAAGCCTATGCTTAAATACCTGGTCTACTATTTTAAATGTTTTTAAATATGTTGATAAAAGTGAAACTGTAGCAACTTTTACAGGTTTTACACTAGAGGGCACTCTTGGAATTTATAGTAAAAAGTATTTCTTAATTCTTCCCTCTGCAAATGGTAGATTTTGTTTGTTGCTGTATTTGTTCCCTCAGCTTTCTCTATTTTTCACCCCTTTGAGGCTACAGTCTGCATATACAGTATTTCATTCCATCTGGAGATCAGAATAGACTGGCCTAAGGGCATTGCTGAAACTGTCTTGATGGTCTTGCATGAACTGAAGTTCACTTCAAACATGTCATATTTTAGACATGAGTTTTCTCCTTTTCTCTCCTCTTTCCTTCCCTTCCCCACAAGGGAATGAAGCTGTCAATATCCTTATATCTGATCTACAAAATTGGAATATCTGCAAAATTTCTCATAAATTATTCCCATTTAAGAACATAATCCCAGGCATGGCTGTTCCTATGGGAAGACATTACTTGATTTACTGGCTGACCAAAGAAAATGTAATTTGAAAATAAAATCGTACTGGTTTAAACAAATAAAAGTGACTTCACAAATTAGAATGTTTCCACTAGAAGGTGCTGTTGCAGTTCAGACAATTCACGCTCAGGTTTGTTTCACTGCAGTATCAGTTTTCTCCCTCTTATTAATAATTTTGTTTACAAATTTGTGTGGGGGATAAATGTAGGGTCATTATTTTGTCTACTGAAACAGCTCTGCTGAAGTTACGGCAAGAAAACCTTAATCATGCATTCCAGCTCTGGTATTCAGAGATTGGCATGAAATATTTTACATTCCAATGGCAATTACATGTTATTTCAGAGGTTCATATTCCCTGGATGTTGTACTAAATGCTCATGGGTAGGTGAATATGGATCCCAAGTAGCTGATGTATAGATAATAATAATAATAATAATAATCTTGCATTCGATATAGCGCTTTTCACGTCGGGAGGACGTCCCAAAGCGCTTCACAGAACACAATGTCAAAGGGGTCTCCTTGTTTCCCAAATATGTGTACCGCATTCCATTCTATTAATAACAAATCAAACAAATGTTCATTCCTATGTTATGTGCTTGCACTGTTATGTTATGGTCTTTTATTTTGATATTTCTCCAGTCTTAAGGCTAATTTGCTAAAGACAATCTTATATTCCAAATAAAAGGTTTTAAATCCTGAATGCATATCTTTCAGTTTCATTTCATTAAGTCTGTTGTTTCTCCCACCATGGACTGTTCATCAATAATTTCATAAATTACAACTTATCCATCCTTCTACTGCTTACTGGTGAAATATTATACAAGTTATTACAATAAATTGATTTAACTGTTAATAACATAGCCAACGTTCAAGACACAAATGGCGTCTCACCCCCCTCCACCCACCACCATCCAAATGGGCCACCCAGTTTTTGTTAAAGAAGAAATTAATACAAATGTTTTGCAACAATCTAATATGTGTTATTTCCCCATATTTAGTTTTTATCAATAAAATGAAAAAATGTAGGTTGGCAGTAAAATGCACCTCAATAGCACCAATCAACCCCCCACAATTTTCTACAAAATCCGGGCCCCGCAATTCTCTGCAAAATTGTCAAACCACCCTGCAATTTTAGGGAAATATTTCCGCACTTTTCTATTGGCCCGGCTTTAGGGGAATGTGGATAAGAGTGCAGGTCTATTGTCTCTTGTTTGGACAGTTCCAATTCTTTATAGAGACATCTGGTTGCAGTGAAGAGGTATTGCATCACACGAGC